ATCCTTGAACAGTGGAACTTATATCCATAAGTGTGCAGCAGCCCCATGTGCTCCAAGAGGGCTTCCTATACTTATTTAATCTGTTAAATAAAGTAATGGAGGATAGAAAAATAGTTTTTCATTATCAGTTCTTTGGAAGGAAGGCTTGGTATCCGTAGATAATGCTTTAATTAAAGTCCTTTATTTCTGTTGTTGAAAAAAGAGTAGAATATAATAAATAAAGCATAAAGTTGTACAAGTTTTAATAATAAAGGAAATGAATAACGAAGAATCTTTATCTTTTCCTGACAAATACTTTCAAAGAAGCTTTATTCCAATGTTTCTAAATTATTATTTCTGGAAACCCACTCTGGCCTTTAAATCAAAGGCATGTGTTTACTTCCCAAAGGCAGCATACCTATTATTTAATATACAGAGACAGAACTCTCCCCTCTTAAGCAGATGGGATAGCTGTAAAGAAAGTCCAGTCTGTCCTAAGGTCTATGATAGTTAAACATTTGTACAAATGATTTGGATAAAATAATAAATTATCCAAGGTATGTACTTGGCCTTCCAGTGACACATATTGTACACTACGTATACTCCACATTCAGAGTGATAATCTCACATTCAGATATTATCTTGGAAAGTTGGCAGTACTGTACTAAAATGGATGATGAGATGCCTACAAATTAATATAAAGTTGTTTATACTTTTAGGCACAAGTCAAAGGACCAAGTTTAGTATGAAAAAATTCTGGCTTCTGTAGATATGGTTCCAGTGTCTTAATATCAACTGTCTAAACATGAAATAATTGTGTAGGGTTGTTGCTGAAAAGCAAATACAAGTAAGTCCATGACTTATTCCCACAAATAGGCCAACAATTTGCATTGTAAATCATTGCAGTCACTTGTGAATTAATGTGTTTTAAAATTAAGAGAGAGACAGATATATTATTTTAAATAATCTGAAGGGCGCAACAGGACCGATGAAACAAACTAAACTATACTTATTGAAAATACCAGAATCATTTGCTGAAAATTGCTTTTTTGGTTAAGAATTAGAAAGAAATGTTCCTGAAACAACAGAACTTAGTGCCAGAACAGATGCATTCGTTAGAGGTGTTTAAATCAGAGGCCCAAACATCACCAGCTAATGCTGATGATCACTTATCCTGTGGTTGCAGTCCAGACCATGCATTGAGTAGAGAGTAAATTACAAATCTTGTAGCTCATTACAAATCTTGTAAGGATATTTTGCAAACTGAATGCTGAACAGAATGATTGTAGACACTAGCTGATTGGGATTCCATCAGGTGCATGTCTGTCTGTCTGTCTGTCTGTCTGTCTGTCTGTCTCTCTCTCTCTCTCTCTCTCTCTCTCTCTCACACACACACACACACACACACACACAGATACACACACACATACACGTATGTGTGTGTGTGTTTATTTATTTATTAGAATTTGTCAAATTCTAATTGACAAAATGGGTACAAGAATAAAAGAAAAAAATACAATGACAGGGACAATAGTCACGCTAGTCCACTTATGCATGCCCCCTCTACTGCCCACTTAAGTATGAAGTAAGGTCCACGGAAGTCAATTTGTGACTGAGATAACTGGATCAGGTAGAGCATTCCAGACTTTGACAACTCTATTACAGAAATCATATTTTTTACAGTCAGGTTTAGAACGATTTAGTTGAGTTTAAAACAGTTGTTCAGGCACGTATTATTGCAATTAAAGCAGCAATTTACAAGTGAAGCATTACTACGTCTAATTTTGTATGCAATATCTAGGTCTGACCACAAGTGATACTGTTCTAAGTTATCCAAACTTATCTAAATTATAAATACGAGTGTGTGTGTGATACACACACACACACACACACACACACACATACATAGATATACATATGTGTGTATGTATGTATGTATATATAAACGCACACATACATACACATATATACACATACACACAGAGAGATACATACGCACACAAATATTATATGACTGCAGTGATTGCTCTTTGACTGCTAAGATGGTTCTTTGGCTTCCTACATAAAAGTCCATTTTTCAGGATGTTCTGATACAATCTTTTAATTATATTGGCTCATGCAACCGAATTTGATTTGATTTTGATATATAATCCTTGTGACTACCACTTCTGTCCTTTGCTATGCTATCTCTCTTTTTTGCTCAGTGTTTAAACTATTTTTAAAAGTGTCTTGCACTAAATAAAAATCCAATTTCCTAGCTTTGTACAACACAATGACATTCCTTGGGCTGTATAGAGATAGTTCAGGGACTATATTAGAATATGCAGTGAACGGAGATATTACATTGTAAGTTATTATGTGAAGCATGTCTATTAATTCATGGATTACTGTGTGAAGCATGGAGGAAAATCTTCTTTTGTATTTGAATAATGTTACTTAATTTTTTGAATGAACTCATGTGAAGAATAATAAAATGGCTTGAATATGTGAATTCTATCACTAAAGATAATGAAAAGCTGGAACATCTTTTCTGTCCTTTCTCATAAATAATGGATTCTGCTGGCCACTAATCGCTTAGCAGAAATTTGTAAATTTGTAACAAAAATTATATGTTCCCCAATAAACATGCATAACAGAAACGAATAGTAGATACATTTATCTAGATGTCATGAAAAAATAGTAAAACCTTTAAGAGATTGCAGAGGGATAATTATTATAGAGGACCATCGCTAAATGAAGCAATGTAATTGTGATCTTATTCTGAAAAATCCAAGAATTTAACATTTCCTTTATTATTGCTTGGCAGAATACTTGCAATGAATATAATTATTGAATCTACAATCTTAATTCCTGTTTCAGACACTTACATTTCTCCTATTACTTCATGCTGTATGTAGCTAAGAATTACCTACTTGACTATACATACATACTTTCCTAGTTAATTAAAGAAACTAGGACCAAGCAAATGATAAGCCAAAATAATAAGCAAAAGTATGGGCGGGATTCAGATGCACAAAATTGCTTTCCTGCATTTCAGTTAAAATGCACGAATTCATCAAAAGACATTTAGTAATACAAGTTAACTGAGTAAATTTTCATCTCTGAGGTGATGCAGTTTCTCCCTGGTGTTTAGTTATTCATACTGACATCACAAATCTGTTATTTAAAACTTACCTTTTGAAATTTGAACTTGAAAAGGGAATAAAATTCTGATCATTGATCCTTTTCTCTCTCATTCCTTGATCATCCAAGTTTTAAGGCATGAATAAAAATGTGTTCAAGAAATAGGAACATTGAGGACTTCGGGATTAGACACTTGACTGCCGATTGGAAATTCTGTGTTTACTATTTCTGTGTCTGTTATTTCTGTCAAATATATTTGAAAGAAAAATCAACCAGAAATTCAAATTAAGCAAATTCAGTTTTTTAAAATTAATTTGAGTTTAAGATCTCAGTTTTCAGTTTTTGTCTTAAACTAATATTTATTACAGCTGAAATTAACACTGTTTGAATCCTAGACTCAAAAGAGTCTTATTCAGTATTATGTAAATCTAGAATAAAATGCTCAACTGTTGAGGTAAATTCTATATACTTTTCTTGGAAACAATATAGAAATTGTTTGCCTTTTTGGACCCAACCCCCCCTCAATTTCCTGTCTTGGCTACAGTTTACAATTTCCAAGTAGGTCTCCCATCCAACAACTACCCAACTTCTTAATTGTTCAAGGGCAGGTTGGTACTGTCACTTAGCAGAGTGCTGCATCAATTACAACAAAAATTTTAATAGTATGACAGGACAACTTGGATGCATTGGATTTGGATGTAAGGTATCAACAGGGAATTCTTTATGCTGTAAAAATCCTTTTAAATTCCTTTTACTTTGGAAATCATCAAGAACTGACTATAAACATAATTATAAATGATGGAATGCCTCCTTAGAATTGTTTTATTTTAATGTGTTGATTGCATTGCAGGGATTATGGTCAGATCAGTACACGTTCTATAGCTGCTGGCAGTAACCATGTGGTTCTTAATGTTAACTGATAGAACTTAAGGAAACTGGAAGAACAATATTTAATAATTGATATTAGTGTAAGCTTATTGTTTATTTTTCCCATGACATATAAAATGGTGCAATATAAGAAATTAATTTAATTCCTGTTGTAAGTTGCTATTTTTGCTATACCAATGCTGGCTGGAAAACTAAAGTTTAGCTTCTCAGCACTGGATGAAAAATTAACATCACATGATGAATGATTTAATTTAAGGTTGCTTTGTTCATGCTTGTTCTCTTTTTTAATTATGTTCTAATGAATTACTTCCATCTTTACAAATTTTATTCTGGACAGAATTATTTAATGTTTCAGTATTAAAGATTACAAATGCATATAGGCACTTACACACAACAGTGTGTGTATATGCTTTTGTGTACTTTTCTACCTCTTTATTTATAATGTCTTATATTTGAAATGCTTTAGTGCCTGCTACGTGTTTAAATAAACTTTAACAATAGAGAAGGGATTTAAAAATGCCATTGAACTGGAAAACATGAAACCTTATATTAAAAGATTTCCTACTGGTGTAGCAATAACTTTAAACTAAACCAAACAAGGTTATAAATTATATCCAGGGTCTTGTTCTAATAGCAGTGCTATTTTTTCCCTACTGCTGTTTGATTGATATCCTTTCTTGGAAGATCTAAAAGGTGATACCTATTACCAAAAAAACAAAATAGAAAAATCCCACACATCACTGAGAAGCAACAGAAGATGGATTTGTGTCCAGATTGTACATCATAAATTATGTCTCCCATTTAGCCAAAATTCAAGCATAATAATAAATCTTGTGTTGCTGCTTTGTGTGTTCTTGATGCACTTTTACCCTTTGACCTGCTACACAATTGCTGTTTGAAATTCAGTGGTCTTGGAATCAAAGTTCTTCAGGCAGAAAACAAAAATAATCTTTGATAAGGCTATGTTTATGATGTTATCTGTCATCTAATTGCTGTCATTCTTTTTGCAGCTTGCACAGACAAGGAACTGCGAAATCTTGCATCCCGCCTAAAAGACTGGTTTGGCAGTCTTCATGAAGATGCGAATCGTGTCATCAAGCCAACAAGCTCAGATTCAGCACAAGGCAGTAAGATGACAAATCTGAGAATAAAATTTGAGATATATTCACAAGTTCAACAAGAATAGCAATGACAGCTATGTTTTTAAGTGACCCAATAATACCTTAGCACATCTTTCCATTCCTTTCATTACGGCTTCTTTTCATTATGTAGGGAAGCAGGGTTCTTGTAGCCAGGACTACCATTCTAAATACATTTTGAAAATAAAATAGTTTCTTTAAAATGGTATTGTATTCTCCTTCAGCCCCTAGGGATTCCAGGTTCTTACCCTCTAGGCTTAAATGAGAAAGCTGAATTAAACTTGGAAATTTATAGAAATTAAACTATAACAAATAATGAGGGAGGATTCTAAAACAGAAGAACAATCAATTCATGGTATAACGTTTAGTAACTTGTCTTGCTACTTGTTACTTTTAACCTTATAAGCATGAATTAATCTGAGATCTACTTTCAAATTCACATAGTTGTGGGAAGATGCAAAAGTATATTTCATAAATACTTTTGTGTCTTGATATGGATCAATTTCTAAAATTCCCCCAAACTTTTCTTAATCTGCTTTGGGGAGTTATTTGGTAAGGCAGGGACAGAAAACAGAAAATAACTTTGCTTACAATATCAAGCCCTGAAAGTTAAATACTGGCGGATATTAGGCTCAAACTTTTAGGTGTTGATGCTTCTGACAAGAATTTACAGGCTGTTACAGGACTCTCTTTCATAAAAGCATTAGAAGGGATTTGATGGATTCCATTGTAGCTAATTAAATGCATATAGAAAGACTACAATATGGACATGAGGAATTGTTTATCCTTGTTATTGTTTATTAGTTTGTTATATTTATTATCTTTCCTGAATGGAGATTTTCCTTTCCTTTTCAATCTCACAATTTATTTATTTATCATATAGCATCATACATGGACTAGCAATATATATTAACATTTCATCTAAATTAGTAAAATATAAATGTTAAAAAGGTCTATGTTCAAATACCAATGTCTAGACTAGAGAATCTAACCATTGAACCGCAGCATCGTTTATATTTTTAAAAATTAGATACAAGCCTTTGAGGTTGACTGCACTGAGAGAAAGTGAACGTGAAACTCAAATTACCATTGAGTTTCCATTGTTGAGAATAGATTTCAGTTGGGGTTTCCCAAGCCATATTCCATCACCTTAATTGCTGCATCACTTCAACTCTTGTATTCAGAATGCAGTCATTTGTATTCAAAGGCATCCTGATAGTATTATATACCCAATGTCTCAGTTAATATATTCACCTACACATACTACGTTTAGAGTTCACCAGATGACAAATAGAAAAACATTATTATTAACATTATTCCATAGAAATAAAAAAATATTAATTTCTGTCCACCAAAAATGTTGGTGGACAGAAACATATAGATTGTGAAATATATAGATTTAGGAAGTAAAAGGACAAGAAAATGAAATAGAGAATAACAGCATTATAGTTGTTTATTCCAGAGTAAAGAAGAAGAAAACAATGTGCTTCATTTTTATAAAGTCAGAATGTGTACAGGCTATCCTCTCATCTGAACGCTGGATTCTGAATTTTAATGAGACAAAATATCTCAAGTTACTCAGAATTTATTGAGTATTGAAAAACCATTTCTACAGCTTCTAATAAACAGATTAAATTGATATTTAAAGGTAAAAGTAAAGATTGCCCTCGTACATATGTGCTAGTCATTCCCAACTGTAGGGGGCAGTGTTCATCTCCGTTTCAAAGCCAAAGAGCCAGTGCTGTCCAAAGACATCTCTGTGGTCATGTGGCCAGCATGACTAAATGCCGAAGGTGCATGGAAATTGATATTTAGCCACCAAAAAAAAAAAATCGGAACTTGCTAAAAGAACAGAATTAAAAGGTGACTAATTGGTATGTTTGGCTCAACTGCTTTGACGGTACATTACAGGTAGTCATCAACTTACAATCATTCATCTAATGACCATTTGAAGCTACAACAGAATTGAAAAAATGACTTATGGCCATTTTTTACACTTCCAACTATTGCAGCATCCCTATGGTCAAAATTGGGATGCTTGGCAACTGGCTCATATTTATGATGGTGGCAATATCCTGGATCATGTGATCACCTTTTGTGACCTTGTGACCAGCAAAGACAACAGGGAAGCCAGATTCACTTAACAACTGCAAGAAATGTCGTAAATGGGACAAAACTCACTTAACTTGCTTAGCAACATAAATTTTGGGCTCAATTGTGAATGTAAGTTAATGATTACCTGTACTAAATATTATTAATAAGTGTTTCTGAACTTTCAGGAATTTTAAGATATGTAAATTTCAAGTCCTAGAATTTCCCAATCAGCATGGCCATTACTAAGAATCCTAGGAACTGAAGTCCTAGAGAAACACTACTTTCAGAAACACTATTCTAAATCTTCTGTGTTATCCCAAACCACTAATTATTAAACCATATAGTTATCCAAGAGATACTATTTACCCCAAGAGAGCAGAAAATGGAAACAGAAAGTTCACATAGGATTTGGACTCAACATGCATGTTATCAGTGGGAATCAGAGCAAATATCTCTCTAGGCAAATGAGGTACCAAGATAGTTCAAGAAAAGTAAGAGTTGTGACCCTAAAAACATGGGATAGACTATAGCTAATGCAAGGAATGGATATGAAGAATAATATTGAAGTCCAGCCCAATCAAACACAAATGCAAACTTTAGCAAAGAAGAAAAAAACAAAACTGAACCAATTTTAGAAGTATATATCATCCTGTTTCTATGAGCCATAGCTATTGCTAGAAACAGGTGAATAGAGATTCAGCCCAAAGGATTTGTTTCAGCCAAAATCTGAGAATAGAATATAATATAATAGAACAGAACAGAACAGAACAGAACAGAACAGAATAGAATAGAATAGAATAGAATAGAATAGAATAGAATAGAATAATTCTTTATTGGCCAAGAGTGATTGGACACACAAGGAATTTGTCTTCGGTGCATATGCTCTCAGTATACATAAGGATAATAAATACATTCATTAAGAATGAAAAGATACAACACTTAGTGATAGTCAAGGTTACTAATTAGTTATCAAACCGTAATAGACAGCAAAGTCTGATATAAGCTCCAAAAGAAATGCAGTTAAATTCTAGCTCACTGAGCGGGTTGAGTGAAGGACATGGATTATTGTCTGAAAATTGAGTCATGACAACTGGAGATATTTTCTTGTTGGTTTGAGATGTTTTGCTGTGATGTTTTGCTGCCCATTCAAGCAGCTCCTTCAATCTGAACAAGATGGTTAAGAGAAAATCTAAGTAGACAGAGAGTTGTTGGAATGTGCCTCCTCCTAAAACTAAAACTTATTCAGACTCAAGAAGCTACTTGGATGAGCAGTGAAATGTCTCAAACCAACAAGAAAATAAGTCCAGTTGCCATCATTCAATTTCCAGACAATCCTTCCTGGATGATTGACAATGTTCATCCATGACATGGAATATTGTTTTCCGAAAACTTTAGAACTTTGACTGAACAGCTTATAAGGGCATCCTTATGAACACAAATCTGTACACTACATAACAAGGCCAAGTTTCATACCACAGAGTGTCTCAATATTTTATTTATTAATCATATTTATATGGCTGCCCAATTTACCAGAAGCAACTCTGGATGAACTATAGCAATCAGTAAAACAGGAAATGTCATTGGAAAAATATAAGGCATAATTACACATAAACAAAGAGCACTGAACAAAGAGTAGGTAAAGCTCTAATTATAATCACCTGCCAAAAGACCCACAAAACCCTGATTATGAACCAAAGCAAAGGGCAACATAAAAAGGCCTTTGGCATCCCTGCTGCTTCTCACACCAGCGGTATAGTAGACATCAGCGAAAAGAGAAATAAATCTGCCAGTCTGATATTCCCTTCTTTCAGCAGTGGGAAGCAGATTTTGCTGACCCTGTCAGCAACTTCCCAGCTACTCATGATAGACTTTATCAAACTTGGTCATTTTTTCAGTCTGAAGGTTTTTTTAAAAATCACAAAAACCTATATGTTCCTGACACATTCTGAATTGGAAACATAACCTTAGCAAAATATCTTTTAAAAGCATTTATATATTATGAAGCATGCAAGCCCATCTCTGTGAGCAAATTACCTCTGAGATCTTCTCTGTACAAATGGGGGGAAAAGGCAGGATAATTTTTTTTAAAAAATGTTTCTTTTTGTGGAATGGAGAAAAGTTGGCTTCTCCCTTAAATCAGTGACCCAATCTAGAACCTATATGTGCACCGTAAGTCTTTGCTATGCTTTTGGACACCTGTAATCTTTCAGATGAAAAGAATTGCATTTGTAATTATTCTTGAAATTCAAACATTCATGCAGCTATATCAAGCCTTTTACTCATCAGGCCTTTCCACACAAGGTTTGTACTTTTTCAGTTGAGATAAGGAGCAGAATCACATTATTCAGTGTACATGGCAGAGGTTTGCTTGTCTAAAATAGTATTTTTTTAACAAGATTTGGTATGTTTGCCACAGTGCAAAATCTGTACAACTATAAAACCTGCAGTCCATTCCATGCATTAATGCATGAATTGTAGGTCAGGGCAACTTGATTCAGATGTAGATCAAAGGACTTTTACGTATATCCCCTCTGAACATACAGACTACAGACATACAGATGAAAATTTCATTTAGAATTTCAACTTATTCTGCTGGATGTATACAGATTCTTTATATATACATAGGAAGAACTGATTTGCAATTACTTGTGGTACATATTAAGAGTACATTTATCATCTCAGTGATGTCTACATGAACGAGGCATAAGGCACTTTCTTCTTATGTTGAGCATTGACTTGTACTTTCTTTTACAATCCTCCCTGATATAAGTTATCAGGATATGCTTATAAAGCTGTACTAAGCATATAATCCCCCACCCCCTGGTAAAGTGTTGTTTATATAGCTTTATGGTTTTTAAGCAAGGTTCAAACATTTACAGTGTTGGGAGTATGTC